CCTGCGACAGGCCCCACTCAGGACCAGTTCCTAGTGCCTTCCACACTCGGGACCAACCTCTGCATTACACTTGGGGGCAGTGCCTCGAGTGTCCTGGAAGTCAGACTACAGCTCTGCCACTACTGAGCCCAGAGTGCTGGCCAGCCCTGAATGGAGTCATGTCACTTCATCCCCCAGGCCTCAGTTTCCCCAATTATAAGATGGTGATGGCGGGCAAGGAGAGCTGGTGTTGGACTGCATGGTGAGTGCTTCAGCAGGCACATGGGGTGATCTCTGCCTCTCCACCAACACCAGGTGCAGGGCCTCCTGTGCCCGCTCATCCACTGCATGTCTCTTGTGTGCCAGTGCTGTGCAAGGCAAAGAGGTTTCAGGGGCAGTTAAAAGTGCTTCCAACATGTGGCCCAGCAACTTCTCTCCTGGGTGTATACCCAAGAGAAACGAAAATGTGCACACAAAAAGTGATGTTGTGTTCATAGCGTCATTCTTCAAAATAACCAGAAAGTAGAAACAACTTGAATGTCCATCAACAGATGAATGGATAAACTGTGGTTCATCTATACAAAGGAATAGTTTGGCCGTGCCACAGAATGGATGAGCCTTGAAAACAATATGCTAAGTGAAAGAAGCCAGACACAAAGGATCACATATGACATGATTCCATTGACATGAAATGTCCAGTACAGGGAAAGTATAGAGATGGAAAGATTAGTGGTTGCTAGGGCTCGGGTTGGGGTAGGGGAGTGAATGAGAGGGTTGGGATGTGAAGGCTATGAGATGCAGGCTTTCTTTCTGGGGTGATGAAGATGCTCTAAAATTGACTGTAATGATGGTTGCACAAATCTGCGTATATACTAAAAATCATTGATTTGTACACTTTAAGTGGGTGTATTGTATAGCATATGGACACACTACTGTGCTGAGGGGTGAGCACTGAGAATCCTCACACCCAGAAGGCTATAGGGAGGGTGTGTTTTTCTTTTTTTGGCAGCTGGCCGGTACGGGGATCCAAACCCAGGACTTTGGGGTTATAAGGCTACACTCTAACCAACTGAGCTAATGACTGTTAACAGGAACAGGGAAGAGCTTTCTTGGTCTAACACATAAATAAAATTATGATTCCATGAGACAGGCATACCGTGGGCATTTATTTCAAGGCTTCAGGCTTCTGCCTCACCAGCTCAAGCTCTTTCTTGACACATTCTGCTGAGGTGTGTCCCTCAACAAATTTGCCCAGTGACATGTGGAAGGAAACAGACTCTGACCCTTCAGCATCAGGACAATACTGGTGAACTGTTGCCCAATCCATACTTTGGCTAAGGGTCTGGCCACTACAAAAAGGCCTATCTGCTAAACAAACATTTTACTTGGAAGATGCTCTTGGCACAAACACAGTCTATGGTCACTAACAGCCATGGCCAGGAACAGCTATGAACTGTGGCCTGTGAGGTGACCTCAGGCCCCTGTAGGCAGGCAGGCCCCAAAACTCATCAGAGCAAAAAAATAAGTCGGAGAGCCAAAGCTTAGAGGTTTAAGAAATCAGCCGACACATTCACATCTGCAGCCAAAAGCAACAAAATTCCTCAGAAGAATCAAATGAAAAGTCTCTAGCACAAAGCAACTGATGGGTGAATCATGAGTTTAGAATATACCAACCAAAAGATGTTTGTTGAATGAATAAATGAAGGAAAGCACAAAGAGTCAGGGAAGCGGAACAGTCGCGGCTCCCCCGACCTCAGGATGAGATGCAATGAAAACATTTTTTGTTTGTGCTATGCCTCTGCTGTGATTCCCTTCCATTCTTCTTCTCGAAGCAAAGCCCTACTTATCTTTTAAGAACCCCTCCTTGCAGGCACCAAGAAGCTCTGTCTGCCCAGAACAATGGCCAGCTCCCCGTGTTCCCAAGATGTGGTGCAGACGCTGCCTGCTCAGAGTCAGCTGCTGGGCTCGGCCCTGTGGATAAAAGAGTGAACGGAGGGACAAAGCCCCTGTCCTCAGGGAGCTGAGAGGGCAGGCCTGGCATCGTCACACCAGATTGAGGTGGGGCCAAGAAAGACACGTGTCCAGGGAGCTGAAGAAGTCAAGGGAGGCTGCGCAGAAGGACTGTACTTCAGTCTGCAGGCTGGGCCGGAGGTGGCCAGACAGAGCAAGAGGTATGTTCCTGATAAAAGGAACAGCCTAGGTGAGGGTCCTGGGAGGGGAAGGGGGAGTGAGTGTGGAATGTTCCAGAAGCCAAAGGAAGTCCCCTTGGCAGGAGCCTGGCCAGCAGTGCTGTGCAGAGCCATATAGGAGCCTGAGGCAAAAAGAAACATGTCCACCCCCGGCTTTCACGGAAGCAAACTAACTCACCGGTAATATTTTCAAAATCTACTTTTTTGGCTCATCTCATTTTCAATGGAGAGAACTACTGAGTTTAATGATTTCCGTCAAGCAAGTGAGGAGCTTAAATAATTTTTAATTACCTTAATCTGGAGTACAATGAATTCTGTTTTGGTATAAATCAAACATTTAAACTCAAAACAATGTCACGGCTTTTAATACATTGACTTCTCAATGTTTCAACATTTTTTTTCTAACTACTTTAATGTTCTGGGGGGAAAAAAATCAACCAGTAAAAAAAAAAAAAAAAGACACAATAGCACATATAGAGGGTGCATGTTTTTCCACTTGCCTCTGTTCAGCCCTGATCTTTATTTAAAATTTGGAAATTTTGTTCGTTGTGGTTTTTTTGTATAAATTTTGATTTTTTAAAATATACAGTATTAA